TTACATAAGCCCTGAATGCGACAGGCGGTGCGGGAGGTGAAGGGCAGAGCGCCGAGAATCCACACAGCCTCCAGCGAGGGCTCCCTGGCACAGGAGCTCTGCTCGCTGACACATCCGCGGGTCCCCATCTGCAGTGCCCTCCCTTCCCCACGGGGGCTGCCACAGCTGCTCCTCCTGATGCTGCCAGCCCGGGCGGGGACGTGGGAGCGGAGCTCTGCCTCCCCGGGCTTGTCGGGGCACGGAGCGGGTGGGAGATGCCCACAGCGCTGTGGCTGTTCCCCCCCTGCCCGCCCAGCAGCCGGGTCCTGCCTGGGGTCTCACCGCTTTGGCCAGTGGAGGGGGAGATGGGTGCCTGGCTAGGACATGTGGGTCGAGTTTGCTGTGTCTGAGGGGTGCTGGCAGCCGAACAGGGGAGCAGCGCTGCGCTGAAGGCCAGGCAAGGAGCGCAGGCTGCGTGGTGTGGGAACACAGACAGCTCCGGCTCAGCCAGAAGTGCCAGTGGGGTCTTGTGCAGGGGCTGTGCTTGGCACCAGTGGTGTCCAACAGGCTCCTTATGGGGAGGGCATAGCACTCTGTGTGCACTCAGTCTGCTCCTCTTGGCACCCATACTCTGGGCAGCCCCTGAGCACTGGGGACAGGCTCTGCAGGCATGGGCAGACAGTGTGTGTGTGTGTGTGTGTGTGTGTGTGTGTGTGTGCATATGCTCTGCTTGTTCTGCCTGCTTTTGCCTGCTCCCGGAGCCACCTGCCCGGCTGGAGGCAGAGCCAGTGAGCACCCATGGGTGGGAGGCTCAGCCAGAGATCCTGGCTCCTTCTGCACTGCAGGTCTTCAACTCTTCCAGAGCAAGTCTGCTGTTAATTCCCTCCATCTCTCCACAGTATCAGCAGTCAGCTCCGGGCTGGGCCGCTGGCGGGCAGGCAGCAGCAGGCAGCGGGGAGGCTGTGAGGAGCTGGTGCCACATCTCCCTGCGTCCGTGCTCCCGACTCACCCAGCAGAAGGTGTGGCTGGGCTGCGCACTCCCGACTCCCGTCTCTTCTGCTCCGTCTGTTCCTGGTGGGCAAATCGGAGGCCTGGTGTGATGGGGTTGCTCTGAGACCTCGCCCCAGGAGCTTCAGGCCTGGATGTTGGTGCTGTTTCTCCCGGACAATGTGGCTGATACTCTGGAGAAGCCCTCTCTTCCCCCCTGTTCTCCAAGTGCCTGAGCTGGTGGCCAGCTGGGACCTGCGTCTCACCCTCTGGGTCCTGAGCTTTGCCTCGCTGGTTGTGCAGATGGAGGGCCAGGTCTACTCACCCACTGTCAACACGCACTATGGGAAGTTACGAGGGGTGCGCGTGCCGTTGCCCAGTGAGATCCTGGGGCCCGTGGACCAGTACCTGGGGGTTCCTTATGCCGCTCCCCCCATCGGGGAGAAGAGATTCATGCCCCCCGAGCCACCACCATCCTGGTCAGGCATCAGGAACGCTACCCACTTCTCACCAGTCTGCCCCCAGAACATCCACAACGCCGTTCCCGAGATCATGCTGCCCATCTGGTTTACCTCCAATTTGGATATCGTGGCCACGTACATCCAGGACCCCAACGAGGACTGTCTGTACCTCAACATCTACATCCCCACGGAGGATGGTGAGTCCCCACTGGGGTGACCACAGGAGAGCGAGGGGGGGGTCACTCCAGCCCTCCCCAGCAGTGGTTGGTCTCACCTGGGTGTTGTGTTTGAAGCATGTGGTTGTGGACCCTGCAGCATGCTGTCTGTTTGTGGAAAGCTTTCTCTGGCCACGCAGCTTGCCCTCTTGCCCTCAGCTGCCATCTCTGTCTCGCGTGCTCCTGCTCCTCCACGCCTCCCGGTCCCACCCCTCCACCTCCATGACATCGTCACGGGTTCCTCTCTTGTATTGCTAAATCTGAATCCGACTCTCTGACCGCAGATCCACAGAGTGACAAGCTGATTTGTGCTCCCCACAGGCGCCGAGTGCCAGGTTCTGTCTTGAGTTGGTTCGAGTTCGTCCTTCCTCCCTGCTTCCCACCCTCCCCAGGTCCATGCGCTAGTTGTGGGCGTGGGCTGCGGCTGGGAGGAACACTCTCTGCCTCTCCCTGGGAAGATGCTCCAGCAAGAAAGGGACCACAGAGCCCTTTTCTGGGCCCTGGTACGGATGGGAGGTTGGGGTGCACCGGCAGACACATCGCTTGGCTGCTCCTCCGTCCGCCGGTGGGCCAGCGGCAGAGCGATGAGCCTGGGGTGCTGGGCATGCACGGGGCATGGTCCTGTTGGGGTGAGGCTGAGCGGCGCTGGGTGCCTCCTTGTCTAACCTTTTCCTTTGTAGGGGATCCCATCTGAACTGTAAGTAGAGGGCAGAGGAGGCAGCGCCTGCCCGCACGCCCGCCCCAGCCTCACCGCAACGGGAGCCCCCAGGGATTTTCAGCGGGCCAAAAGGGACCCGCAGCGGGTCTGCGGCACACAGCAGAGCAGCCTGGTGGGCCAGTGGCTTCTCCCAGGCTGGCTGGCTCCACTCCTTGGTCTCTGGGGCCCACAGAATGCACCATGCCTTCCTTCCTGCCCAGCACGGCTGGCCCAGAGTTTTCCTCCCATGGCGATGCTCCCTCCCCACCTCCCGCGGTCCCGGGGGCGGTGGGAGGGTAGCAGCGTGGTTGTGATTGCATGCCCACTCCCATCAGTGGAGCCTCCTGTTATTTTGTAGTCTTTTATTCATTTTACAGTAAAACGGATTTCCAAGGAATGCACCCGAAAGCCCAACAAGAAAATATGTAGGAAAGGAGGTATGTAGCAAGCCGACCGGCAGAGAGGCACAGAGAGGAAAGAGAGAGAGAGTGAGAGAGTGAGAGGGTGCCTGGCTGGCCCCCAGCCTGTGGCACTCCTCCAGCACCTCTCTGTGCTGACACTTGGACTGTGGACCCTCCAAGCAGCCCACCCTGCCACCCCCTGCTTCCCAGGGAGGAGCCCCACGGATGCTCCAGCCAGCTTGGGAGCACAGGTCTGGGGTCAGATCATGAGGATGTTCATGTTGCTCCAGGCCTTTCAGAACAGCTTCTCCTGGGCTGAGCCTGCACTCCCACCTTCATCCCACTGGCACTGACAGTCTCACAGTCCCTGGGCATGAGGGGTAGCCTCTGATGGCAGGTAGCACTTAAATGCATCCATCCCTTAGGTTGGGCTACCCCACTGGGGGTATACAGACCTGCTCAGGGAAGGATCTGTGTGATGGGGGACTGCAGTCCATCCTGGGCTGAGCTTTTCCCCCCAGTGCATCCCTGATCATTTTGCATCCAGAGCTCCTTGGTTAAAAGCATAAAGCCTCTCCTGGCTGTGTAAATGCTGCAGATTCTGCTCTGAGCCTTGTGTCTGCCAAGGCTGCTCCCCACTGTTCACACCCCTGTGCCAGTGCCAGTCCTGCCAGTAAGGATTTGGTCTCCAGCCCATGGCACAGCAGCCTCCCTGAGCCCTAGCAGCCCTGTGGGCAGCTGAGCACCTCCAGTTCAGACACATCTCTGCTTTGCCTTGCCTCCACTGACCTTCTCCCACTGCCTCTACATGATCCTGTATTCCCAACCAGTGATGTGCAGAAGGGAGTAGAGATGTACACATGGTAGCTGGCTCAGCCCCGTGTCAGACACAATGCCTCACCCTCCACACAGCCACCTTGCAGGCAGGGAGAGCTGGCTGCTCTGTGCATCCCAAAGATGAACATCAGGCAGCCACGCTCTTCTGAAAGGCTCAGTACAGGGTGTCTGGCCGGCACAGGCTGCTGTCCTGGGCGTCCTGCAGCAGCAGCAGCAGCATCCCTGCATCCCAGCCTCTGTCTCCCTGCACCCCTGGGTTTGGCGGGGCCAGAGCAGCTGGGCTTGGAGGTTTGGGGAGCGCTTTCCTTCCAGCCGTTTCCCCCAGTTCTGTTGTTTGGTTTCTTTGCTTTGCTTTTCCTGTTGCTGTCCTGGCTATTCACACGCCATCTCTCTGAGTGCCAAGGCTGCCCCTGAAAGGGCTGGCGCATTAGGGAGTCTCTGCACGCTGCCTCCGGAGCCGGCTGTGCCAGTGATCACCAGCCACTTCAAAGCGCTTCCTCTCCCGGCCCTCCCACCGGCTGCCAGGGCTGGCAGACCCCCGCCACCCCCAGCCCTACAGCCAGGGCCAGGGAAACAGGCTCCAGGTTACTGCCAGAGAAGGGGATGATAAAACACATGACAAAACACCTTGGGTGCGCTCATCTCCTGGGTTTCCCTCCCCTCTGGCTCGGCTCACGGGCAGGTTGCTCTGCGGTTGCCTCTGGTCACCTCCCAGGGAGCTGGTGAGGGACCCTCCCTTTGCCTCATGGACCAGCAGATCCCTGGTGCCAGCCATTTGGATATCCAGGTGTGGTGTGCCAGGAATGAAAGCACCCAGACACTGGCACTTCCCTCCAGCTCTGGCCAGGCTCTGGTAGCTGTTGGCTTGAATTAATTGAGTCACTTGTGATGAAACACAGAAGTTCCCACACTCCTCATTGTGTATCCTAGGTTAGTAATGCTTGGGGAGAGGGTAATGTACCTGCAGGGCTGACTTCCTCAGGTTGAACATTTGAACATTGACTCATTCTGGAATAATCATGATTACTATCCTATTCCTAAGGCCACAGACTAGCAGTGATAAGCTCTCCTCTCACAGAACAGTATTTTGGTGGGTGAAAATGCCTCAGCTCCCACCTTACTGGAGTTTTCATGACTTCTGCCCTAAGCTAGTGTATTTCAGAGCAGACAAAGGACTGAGAATTTGTCAGTCATGCTTGTTTATCTCTGGGACAGAAAAACATCCCTGTTTCCCTGCCCAGTTGCCCACAGTAATTTCCTATATGGAAATTTTCTAAATGCCAGTCTCCTGCATACACATTGATTCCTTCTCTGGTAGCAGTACAGGGCAGCAGTGCTTTGAGAGCAGCTAGCCATGCATGGTGCCAGGGGAGCTGACAGCACTGAGGCTCAGATTTTGCTGCAAAAATAGTGCTGCCCACCCAAAGACCATGTACACACATAGCCTGAGAGCACAGTACCTATGTGCAAAATGCAGCTCTGCCCCATGCTTTGTGCTGCCAACACTTCCAGCCTGTTTTTGGCTGTGGTAGATGCCAAGAAGATTTTTTCCTTCCCTTCATCACCAGCCTGGGCAAGCCTTGCTGCAGGGCATGAGGAGGTGGATGTCATTTTTGGAGGGGAAAAATGTGGTTGCCCTGCACTTAGCAGCTCTTCCTGGTTTTCATTAGCGAATGCCCAAATCTCTCTGGCTGGGACTGTGAAGAGTCTGCAGTATTGCAGAGACAAAGGTCCAGCGTCTTCCTCTGCTGTGTGAGGGTGGCTGGAGCTCCCAGCAGCTCCTGGGCTCAGGAAGCACTCGGGCAGCTCTGCAGGAAGAGCGCTGTGGCTTCTCAGCTTCTCTCCAAGAGCTGACTTGTCCAAGTACTGGCTGAGGCTTCCCTACAGCTGCACAAATTCTGCAGCGCTCCCTTGCTGGAAGTTTCTTCCCAGCCCCCTCGAAGCCTGCTGCTTTGCAGAGCTGGCTGTGGGCAGACCACCGCCCTGGTGCTCCGCTTCCACTCCGGGGAGCGATTTGCAAAGGTGAGGGTCGGTGTTTGTGCTGCCAGAGGCAGCAGAGCGTGAGAAGATGCAGTGCTTTTAGAGTCCACTCAGGGATGGAGATTACTCCTCTGCATCATTCCAGGACAGGGAGGGGCAGGGCAGCACCAAGGTGTGCTGCAGTCCTGGAGCAAGGGCTGATGGCTGGAAGGACCCTCTGACACAGGTCCCAGCTGAGCTGTCCCTGCCTGTGGGGTCATGCAGCAGCAGGTTCAACAGCTGCACCCTTCTTGGTCCTGTTCCTTGGCACTCCCAGAGAAGCAGCTGAGATGCTGTGGCCAGCAGCAGGTGTACCTTTGGGAGCCAGCAGAGGTTCCTGCTCCCTGCAGCATCGTGGCTGCTTTGCAGGAGCAGGTGCCCCAGGGAGCTCGCACTGAGGAGAGGGTGCTGGAGCTGCCTATGGGTGCCCTCAACAGACATGTGGATCTGGAAAGGTGTCATTGCAGGCTCCTGCTCTTCTCTTATCCACACCGTGCTGAGAATGAAGGCTCCAAGGACTGAGGCTCCTTATCCTGCTTTATCTGCTTTTGCACTGGTGTCAGTGCTGTTGGTATGGTTTACTTAAGATAGCATAAACCCAGCAAGGATGCCCCTGTTTCAGGCAAAGTGATTTTTTTTTTTTTTAAACTAAACTTGGACTTAAATCTTCCTCGAGCCTTCAGATAAGAGCATATGCATCCTTCCTATCGGCCTGAACAATGTTGCTTTGCAGTCAGCTTAAAGTGAAGTGCCACTACAGACATTCACCTCCTGGGTTAGTGGGGGGTGTTTTTGATGGGTAACGAGAATAAGAGCCATAAGCACTTTTAGTTTTTCCAGCTGTGAATCCACAGGCTTAAACCCATCCCCATGAGAGTGGGTGCTGCAGGGCTCTGCGTGGTGGCCTTTGTTAGAGCAGAGGAAGATCTCGTGGGCTGGGTGTCCCTGAACATGGCAGTAGCCAGTGGAAAGTGTTACTGGGTGAGGGAGGTGAAGCTGTGATTGCTCTCAGGAGCTGTGGGCATTGGTGGGTTGTGCTGGAGGTGAACATTGCAGCAAGAGGCAAAAAGCCCACTTGGTCACAACCGTCTGTGCTGGCCATAACCACCCTGGCACCTTCCTGCTGATGGGTGAGGCTTGTGCTTTGCATCTGCCACACACACATGCCACTGCTGTTGCCCTTCCCCCTGGCCTGCATCACTGCACTCCTGCTTTGCTTAGCTTCCCAAGTGCTGCTTTCTGCCATCTCTTCTGCGGTGCCTGCAGCTCAGGTTGCTGGAGGCTTGTCCCAGCTATCTCTAAGCTCTGCAGCAGCAGTCTCCAGCTGGATCCCTCCCTGCTCAGACAGGACAGTTGCTCAGGTCACAGACTTGTTGTCCACCGCCCTCTTACAACCTGACAAGTCCTCATAGCTGATTCCTCCGTCTGCACAGAGACTTTTTGTCCCCTGAAGGAGACCAGCTTGCAGGGCTACAGTCTGGCCAGTCCCAGGGCCTTTGGCAGTGAAAAATGATCTCCAGCTGCCTGTGGTCAGCTTCTCAACTCTGAAGCACAGTGTGGGTGAAGGCTCGCTGGCTGTGTTCTTCATTAGAGAAAAATCCCGATCCCTTAGAAGTACCAAGAGGTTGCTGCATAGCACTGGTTAGCAAATATTGCATGAGTACTTCATCATTTAAGTGCTTTCTGGACTTGCAGCTCTTCCTAATGAAGACACAGTAGGTCAAGCTTGCAGCCTCCTGCAAAGAGTCTGAGTGGCTGCACATGCCCAGCCGAGTGTGTGGCTGGGGGTGGGCTGGGGAGGCAGTGTGGGGAGGATGCAGCAGGAGCAGGGAGATGCTGGGGCTGAGGTGCTGGGGAAGAGCTGGCAGGGATGGGGATGGTGAAAAGAGGAGAAGGATGTGATATGCTCAGAGGATGGCTGGGTGGTGAAGCAGGAGGCGAGGGGATGGGGCTGGAGTGGGGGTAGGTCAGGAGGTAAACTGAGCTGGAGGAAATCAGAACAGCACAGGAGACAGCTGATCTATCCCTGCCTGTGGCAGGATCAACTCCATCTCACCTCTTTCTGGAGCTGTGTCCCACCCGGTCTTAAACACCTCCCCAGGCCGCCTCTTCGAGTGCTTCAGCTGCCCTTTCTGCCAGAAAGGTTTTCTTCTCATCCTGCCTCCTGTAGCCCCAGGGCTGCCTGGGAGGGACTTGCTTTTCCACCTCACCACCTCACAGTAGTCTTTCATGTGTTGGGATGCTGCTGTAGCTCCCATCATGCCTCTGCTCCCAGGATTCATGTGACCCTGCCTTCTGCAAACTTCTCATGCCTGCTGGATTTTTCGAGGTTTCTGGTTGCTGCTCCTCCAGCAGGTCATGGCTGCTTAAGGCGTTCTACAAACCTCTCGCCCTGATGGAGCTGCCTCACAGCCATTCCAGATCTCTTCCTCCCCCATCAGAAATTCCTTTAAAATTCAAATCCTGTCCCACTCCATGCTGCCATCTCTGTTATCCACCTCCTGTGTCACCTGCAGAATGTCACTCCCAGACTGACAGTGAGCACAGCTCCCCAGTTCTGTCTTTCTGACCAGTTTTGTGCATTTAGCCCTGTAGTTCCATGTACACAGGAACAAGGCTTGCTCCTTGCTTATGGGAGCTTTGCTGGGGGCTGTGGAAGCCCTTGGTGTGGTAATGGGGCCCTTGGTGGTGGCAGCAAGACTCTGGGATCAGCCCAGATCTGGCAGGGGTCAGAGCCCCTTGTCTCAGGGGAAGGTCACTGGGCAGTGCAGGCACTCTGTGGATGAGTTCTACCTGGGGAAAGCCCTGCTGTCCCCCAGAGGTCACCATCACCTGGGGAACTTTTTGTTGTAAGCATTAGGGAGCAGAGGACTTGCAGGTCTGCAGCTCTAAGGGGATAAAAACATCCAGCCTCTTCCTGAAATTCAGAGCTCCAGAGCACAGGGATGGCACCACTTGCCTTTCTGTCCACACTGGCATGCAGTCCTTTGCAGGAGTGGGGTTTTGGCACTGGTTTTTCAGCACCCCTGCTCCCTGCCAGCCCACAGGCCACCTCTCCTGGCTCCTGCTGGCTGCAGGCTCACTGCAAGCCTTCCACAGCAGCATCCCACAGTTTGCAGCTGGGGCTGCTGTGCTGGCCAGTGCCCCAGGACTGCAGGTTGGTGAAGGGACACAGGACAACTGTAAGGCATTCAGGATGTTACAGAAGCTAATATTTATAGGATTCTGCCTTGGTCAGGTAAAACTGATTGGTGCCTTTGAAATCCTCAGTGAAACATGGAACTGGTCTTGTAAGGAGGGAGTTGATGCAGGATGGAGCCAGGCAGCTCAGGGAGCATCTGTCATGAGGGATCTCTGCGTGCTGTGGTGGTCTCATGCAGTGGTACCAGTGGTTTGTGTCCAGCACAGCAAGTGAGGGTGATGGGCAGGATCCTGCCTGGCTGTCATGCAAGGCAGCCCTTGGTGTGAGCTCTGCAGAGGCCAGTTGTCCCCAGGGGCAGCAGAGCTGGGAGCAGGGCTCCTGTTTACACCTGGGTGCTAGGAGAGGGAGCCCTGCCTGGAGCTGAGGGTGCATGACCAGGCGGGGACCAGGCTGGGATGCAGGAGGATCGGCAAGTGCTTTGAGAGATTCATCCACCGCCAGTGCTGATGCTGCCACAGCCCCACTCGCGTCTTCCCTGCCACCCCAGCCCTCCCCAGGGAGGATCTGGGAAGGGGCCCGGGTGAAGCAGCATCCTGCCACACTCCTGGGGCAGTCCTGCCCGTGCCCTAACACTGCCCTGACTCTGGGAGAGGTGCAGTGTGAGTAGCCAGCAGTGCTGTGGGGCACAGGTGTGGCCCCACTGTCTCTGCTATCATGCTATTTTTGAATTCTCTTTTTTTTTTTTTTTTTGTGTTCTTTTCTTTCTTTCTTTTTTTTTTTTTTTTGTTGTTGTTTTCTTTTTATTTCCTTTTGTTTTCCTTTCTGTTCTGTCTCCTCGTGTTTGGTCCCTAGGAGCCAGCGCTAAGAAACAGGGCGAGGACTTAGCGGATAATGACGGTGATGAAGACGAAGGTATTTCTGTGCTCGAGGCTGCCACTGCATGACACGCCAAGCAGCTCCGTTTGCCCGCCATCCGCTGCCACCCCCAGGGAGCCCTGTGTGTGTCTGTCTGCCGTGCCAGGCAGCTGCGCGGGGTGGGGGGCAGGCTGGCCGGCTGTGCAGGGCACCCAGGACCTTCCCCTCCTCCCCATGGGGGGAAAGCTCATGGGGTTTTTCCGCTTTAGGAGAAGTTTGCTCCTGCTCAGTTGGAGCGAGGGCAGGGAGGAAGCATGGCAGCTTGGGAGGAGAAAAGCCCTCGGGCACCTGGGCCCATTTCACCCTGAGCCCAGTCACATCCCACCTCCAGCCTCATCCCTCCAGAGTCAGTGACATGCATCTGGGAGCCAGCAACCTCCCCATCCGCCCTTGCCCGGCCCTGCCGTGGCTGTGCCGGCAGCCTGAACACTCGGCACCCAGAGGGCATCTGGCCATGCACAGGAGACCCAGGGTCCGCTTGGTTTCTTCTCTCCTTCCTCACCCGGTGGAAGTGAGGTCTTGCTTGCAAGCACCAGCCGAGACGGAGCAAGTGGCCTTTCAAGCAGATGTGATTCTAGATGTGTGCCAGCACTAAGCAAGCTGCAGAATAGGCTATTTTTAGTAGAACGGGGTGGTTTGTCTGCAGGTTATGGAGTCGGCAGCGTGTTTGGCTGCAGAGATGTAATGAGGAGGTAGGAGGAAGGGTTGGCCAGGGTGCAGCCCTAATGTGCTGAGGACAGTAAAGCCTCGTGGTGTGCAGGAGGCCCAGGCAGCTCGAACAAGGCCTGGCAGATGGCATTTAGGATCTGGGAAATAGATGAAAAACTTTTTCCTTGGCAGTACTAAAACCCTGTTGTTTACTCCAGCTAACCTGTGCCCCACGATCTCTTGTACCAGGGCGTAAACTGGCATTCAGCCTAAGTGACTCGACTGTGCTAAATCCACACACTCCAAAATGTACTGCAGCGGTTGGGAGCTGTTTATTTCCTGGTACATCTCTGTACATTGTTGCCATTCTGCTGCGAGGAGGGCCCTTTGTACATCAGGGAATGGGTGCAGGATGGAGAAGCCATGGCATTGATGTTCCTGCCCCTCACGTTTCAAGCAGGTGGTTGTCCTGATGTAGCTCTGCCACACAGGCAATGTCTGTCCTGGAGGAGCTGCAAGCACATTTTGCTCCCCCTGGTCTGTGCATTTAGGAAAAGCCAGGACAGGTTTTGGGTTTGGCATAGCCTCATTCTCCTGGAGGGAAGGAGGTTTTCTGTATGGGAGGCCACCTTTAGCCATGCTGTGGGCCACAGCTGGAGGTGAGAAGGGCCACCGATACCCATCAGCCTGGCCTGCAGCCCCGTGCCGTGGGCAAACCACAGGGAGGAGTGGACATGGCAGGGGTTAGGTGGGTGTGGGTGAGCATGACCTGCCCAGCCGGTGGTCATGGTGTTGGTGTGGCTGTGGCCCAAGAGTGCCAGTCCTGCTGCACTGCTGAGGGAGGCAGGCAGGGAGCAGCAGCTGCCTGGGGCAGCTGAGGCCAAGCAGGCACTGCCAGCCCACCTGAGCAAGGTGCTGGGCATGAGTGAGCACAAGGGAGAAGGAAGTCCATCAGTGCTGGATCGCCAGCTCAGGACAGCGCTGGGCAGCGCAGGCATGTGGGACCTGGCAATGTCTCCATGGCGGGGGAAACTGCCTCGTCTGTGTGACGTGGGCAAGGTGCACCAGGAGCCCAAGCACAGGTACTATTCCCTTGTGGGTGGCCATGGCTCCATGAGGGATCACCAGCCAGTGGGGCAGGAGGGGCAGGATGTCCCCTGGACAGAAGCTGAGAGAGGGAGCATGGCTGCTCCCTGTGCACTAGGCTCACACAGTCCTTCCTCCCCGACCCTCGGGGTCCCATTCCCCATCCTCACTCCATGCCTCATGCCCTGTCCTCGTCCAGATGCCGTGCTCACCTCCCTGACACGCACACGTGCATACACTGTCTGCCTCATCACCATGTCTATGTCTGGGCACTGGGGTGCCGTGGGTCTACATCCAGACAGGCAGGTCTCTGCCTTCCCAGGGGAATGGGAGTGGGAGAGTGAGACATTGGAGCACACATCAG